TTACTCTTTTTTAATTTTGGATTATTCGGAAAATTTATACGACTAAGAGATTTGAAAGTTAAGTTAGTTTTAAATAATACCATTATCTGAATCAGCGATGGCAGAATGATTAGCATCAGTTTATTGAGATGCAATGCTCTAGATATTTTGAAGACTTTTATACCCATCTCTACAGCTTCTTCTAGTTCACCACTTAATACTCTGTTTACATATAATGCAAATAAATTAGTTAAAGACGCGAAATTTTCTGCATAAATTTTTAAATTATACCTAATTTGATACATCATTAGATAAATATTTGCCAATATCACTAGTTCTTCGACATCATTCCATTCAATCTTTTTTTTATTGTGATTAACATTGGTCTCTCAATACGTGTTATTAACCTGATACTTCTTGTGTGATGCAAAACTCGAACTGTCGCAAGATATATTTGGCCTTTCTCTAGAAAACTATCAATGCTTTGAAACGCGATTCTGAAACTTCTCAAGGCGAACGACTGTGCCATCTTCAGTCTATTTTCTTTCTAGGTAAATAATTACACAACTATTACATTCATTGTACTTTCTATTTTAAAATTTAATAATTTATATTTTTTTATATATTAAAATTACCTTATATTATATATATTAAAATTACCTTAGGTTGGCACTGACAGTCTAGATCAAATAAAAAAAAATTTACGTGCGTGAATTTTCAAAATTATTCAATTTTTAAGATTAAAATCTCTATATAAAAAAATCTTTGAAAAATGTTTACTAAACCTGCAATAATCAGACTTTTCGTTTATTTTTATCTCCGATGTGTCAAAGGAAATAGTAAAAAAAGTATTGAAGTAAAATAAAGGATTAATAATGATTTTGATTAATAAAAAGATTTTTTTAATTATGTAATATATATTTTAATAATATATATATTTTTTTTCTCTTTAATTTCTTTTCTTAATTCTATTTTTCGCTTGAACAAAAATAATAATTTTTGTTACATCAATTTAGAAAGTCATTACCATGAATATGGAGCAAAGACGTCGTAAGTATGACGCCAACTCCATGTTTCTTACAACAAGTTGCATTGATTTTTCGTCAAGTGTATAATCAGGGGGAGCTCGTAATTTACAAAACATTCTTAATATGTTGTAACAGATGCCTTTTTCTATTGCAAATTGTGTATCTCGGCATTTCACTGCCAACAGATAATATCTTTTAGCCTGATCATAATTTCCTAATGCATTATAAGCGTCACCTAGATATAATTAATATTATAATATGTAATAATATTTTTTTAATAACAATGAGATACATGGCACTTTGTTTAGATAAAAAATACAATAGATGCACAAATAGATGCAAATTAATATTTGTCATAAGACGATCTTACAAATTTTCGTACTGTAGAAAATTACAAATGATAATAAATTATAATAATCTAACACAAACCCATTAAAGCTAATATGATTCCTTTATGCATGATATTATTCTCTGTATTATCATTTATCCATTTATCATCTATTTCGGCTTTACATCTTTTAGCGGCGATCGAAAGCAGATTAATGGCATAGAAAGATTGCGCAAGCTGGATTACTGCAGCACTGTATTGTATAAAAAACTCGAGTACTTTCTCGGTTTCTCCTAAAGTAAAGGTTAATTTGATAATATAAATTAATAATCGTAGCTTAATTATTAAGGATTATGCTTTATGTAAGAATTATATAAGGATTAATATTATATAAGGATTAAAATAATTTTATAAAATATGTTAATTTACCACTTTTCTCAATGTGTTGGTGCATTCTCCAGAAAAGATGGCTAACAACACTGTCACATTGGCAATTACGATAATCAACATGATGAAATGTTTCCAAAGAGCTTAGATAAGCAGTATCATCTATCATTTCTGCAGAGAAACTCGAAAATTGCTTTTGAAATCTTGATTCGGCAATTATTTTATTTTCTTCTTTTTTTAGAACTAATATAAAAATATATAACATTTTTATTTATTAAATTTTTAAGTTAAAAATAAATTAAAATGACAAAAATATATGACGTTCTAATTTATTGAATTTTTAAGGAAAGTAAAACCGTCTTCTTCCTCAATATCAATACTCGTCGGCATAATAGACACTCTACAAACACCCAAGGAATCTTGTGTTCTTGCCGTTTTAATGGTGTCAATTGGAAGTGGAGTCAGTTTGGGTGTTACCAACTTTTGAGATTCGATCGTGCGACGACGAACCATCGAGATTCTAGGTGACACTACGTCTTCTTTCTAAAATTATTAAATAAATCAATTTCTACAATGGAATTAAAAAGATGTATTTCAAAAAATGTACATAAATGTAAAAAAATTAAAAATTAAAAATACTGATTAAAAATTAATTTTGTAAAATTATGAATTTCTGAATTTTTAAATTGATGAAAAAGTTGTCCTTAAAATTATTAAATTTATTATACTCTCTCCAAACAATAGTGTGTGTGTGTGTGTGTGTGTGTGTGTGTGTGTGTGTGTGTGTGTGTGTGTATGTGTGTGTGTGTTTTTGGAAAGGGTATATATTTAGAATAAAAAGAAATTTAAAAAATATGAAAATTTTGAAATATTTTTACTGTAAAGATTAAAAATTTATTTTTTAAAAATGACTCAAGTCTTTGTTATATCTTGTTATTATATCTTGTATTGTTAAATATTTTTTAAATATATGATTTGTTGCGTTTTATTGTTTATAATTTTAAATATTTATAGTTTATAGTTTAATTTTTATTTGACCTCCATTTCTTTAAGTAGATCTTCCCTGAGAATTCTTAGGAAACGATCACTACCACAAGAATTGCATTTTTGAGCATCCTGACCATATATTTTAGCCGCTCTCGTGTGATGCTCATTTCTTTCTTTATTCGTTTGCATATTATATATCATCTTATGAAACGCGGCAATTTTGAATTCAAGCATTTTACATTGAGCATAAGGAGTCTTGGGCAATGGTAACCGATGAGTAATGGTAGGTCCTAAAAAGTCATAGAATTATTTGCCAAATTAAAAAATTACGTAATTGATAAAGATTGAACGTATATGAAGCCAGTGTTAATTTTGTTATATTTTTTTTACTGATCTAAATTTGCTTTTCTCTTATCAAAAATTTTAATACGAATCATTATTTTTAAAACTTAGATATTAGTTATTATTAAATATTAGTTATTATATAAATGTGTACTAACGTGAACAATGGCAAGATACCAAATGGTGCATATCAGAGAATGTCTGTCTTGTTGTATCTATGCAAAAAATAAGGTCCTCGTAATGGAAATCCCGCCGTTGTAAGGCAGCGCATTCTAATATCCGCATTCGGATCATCTCGGAGATGGCTACGGAGTTACATGAGGTTCATCTAAGTTAACGTGCAATTCATTTATAATAAGGCGCGCGAGAAACGCAAATTAATAACTCACTTCTACTTGTATGCGGTGGAATCGCATTCGGCATCACGTTTTCTACCATGCTTCGTTTAAACACTCTGCCCAACGTTGCGCCGCACTTCATGAAATCTTGCTCATAAGGATTCATTCTATCGTAGATCTTAGACATCAATTCTACACGAAGAGAGTTTCTAATGAAAAAATTAACATAGTAATCAATCAACGCGGTCTAAACACGATTGTAAAAGTTTCTCCTTTAAAATATTGTCACTGCCCTAAAATTATTTTACATTAGACATCATATCAAACATCAGTAGTTGTTCTTCATAAATTACGTGATTAAAAATACGAGAAAAAGAGATTTATTATAGCCCGAAAATTTTAACGATAAAACGTTAGGAAATTTACCTGTTATATCGCAATCTTTGTCAGTGGGCTGAAAATAATTCTCGTTCAAAACACACACGTCTAAAATACCCATCTGCGACCAGGGCAAGGGGGGTGACAGTTCTTCTGGCATTAATTCAATTGGTAGTTTTGTTATCAAAGAACTATCTGGGAATATTAGATTGCGTTTTATCGCTTCGCTGGGGGTTATTTTGAGAAAATCTAAACCATTAGTCTGAAGAATTGATGTCAGGTATGTTTCGCACCATCCGATGTGACCGTCTTTATGTTCTCGTAAAATGCTAATAAAAATCTTACTGTTATTATTATTATATTATTAACAGATTTGCGATAGCTATGTAAAAATAATGCAGATGATAACAATACCTGCTCAATTTCTCAGATATCCCAAAAACATTTAAAAATTGACACGCGAATACCGGAAGCAAATCTAAATCCAGACCAGCCAATTCGTGGTTCATTATTCTTTTATCTTTATAGATTTCTGCTTCCACCTGAGATAAGTCGTCCCATGAGCTTGGCTTCAGCATCGTCATCGCTATGATAATATTCTGGTTATCGAGAGCCGACGATAAAAATTGCCAGGACTTGTAGTCCATGTTTTGAATGTCATCGAGTAAAATGCAAACATTAATTTTTAGCTGCAGACATGAATAATCATTATCATAACATACAGCAATATATTATTAAAATAATACGATTTTGAAATACGGTTTTAAAAGAATATCCTGAATTCCTTTTTATAGATAAAACAGTGACGTTACCTCCTTTAATATAGTTTCAAAGATGTCAACGGTTTTCATATGTCGTTGCCAATCTGTGTCGGAGAGATATGTATCGGAAAGAGGGAAATGAACTCTCATCAAAGCGTTCAGATAGCAGAAATCTTCTATAACGAAAATGTCACTCAATTTATCAAGTAAGACTTTTTCACGCTCGCCAACCGTTTCGCAATCCTCAGCTTCGAATATCTGTAAAAAATGTAAAGCATCTAAAGAAGCGTATCTTCGTTGTAGAAAACCATTTCGGCAGAAAAACGTTTATATAAATAAATTTAAAAATATTTAAAAATATTTATTCTTTGTAACTACATATTTAAATTGTTTATTCCTACGCTTTGTGGATTAAAAATTTCCTAATTTTTAAATTTCTCGATCTTTTTATTTAGGTTCAATTATTTGATTAAAAAAGTCTACAATGAAGTTAATCAAATTTTATACCTGTAGAATAATGTGATATATAACCGAATAGGCCTTGTCCGCGTAGATTACGTGAAGAGAAAGTTTGATTATTCTTATTCGTCTGGCGCGAGCGAGCCTGACGAAAGCATCTAAAAGTCTGGATTTTCCTGATCTCTCGATTCCCTAGATAGATAAACGATCGATTTTATAAAATATACGAAACAAACACTGCAGCGAATAACGTTTATGTCTACTTGATTTCTGATTTCTCCTTTTCACGGCAGCATAAGACTATATAATTATATCTATAGACATTTTTTACATCTGATGTTTTAAAATTATTAAATTTAGCTTTATAATACCTCAATCAATAATCCCGAATATTTCCGATCAACTAATTTGATTTCGTCGAGGATTTTGTTAAAATATCCCAATTCACGTGTTCTACCCAAAATAGGATAACAATAGGTCAAAGATGAAGTTGTATCTACATATTCTTGAATCCTATTCAGATATTGTAAGAAACATTTATATAGTCAATTTTCTTCATTGTCTATTTATAACATATTAATTTATTTAGAATCTAATTTAATTTTAATATATTGACATAAAATGTTTTAATAAATTATTTAGCTAAAACTATACAGAATTTATTACAGAATTTTCAATTATATATGATTCACACACACACACACACACACACACACACACACACACACACACACACACACACACACACACATATATATATATATACACACACACACACACACACAGAGTCTGTGTGCATACGCGCAAGCGTGTGTACGAGCATGTGCGTATGTGGCAGGTGAATATAATTCATTTCTGTCACTTGATTTTATTTATATTTAAACAAAAAATACAAACTTAAATGCTCACGGTGTATCAATAACAAATTCGTAGACGTGATATTTCTCGAATCGTCGCAGTGTCCTTAAGCCTCGAGAGCGAAATTGATTTTTTTCTATTTGACTATGCAACACAGTGTCATAATCACAGGAAATCTACGACACATTGCAAATACATAAATCAAGTCAAAAAAACAGATATTTTTATATTATATTCATATTAATATAATATTAATATAATTATATCTTTGTAATTATTTTAAAGAAAATCTGGAAGCTACATTATTAATTTTTAAACTTATTAAAAAATTATTTTGTTAATTATCGTTAATATAATTTATTAAAACAAGATAATTATCTTAAGTGAATAAACTAAATAATCTTTAAATAAGATTTAAATGAGATTTAGGTAAATTAAATGATCAGATTGCTAATTACTCTATTATGTGAAATATTCATCATTCTTATAGCTGTATCAACAGAATGTCCTATTATTGCATAATATTTTCTAGCGATATGTCCAATTACACCACAATAAGTCATTCCTAAAATCAAATAAACAATGCAAAATGATATATTATGTCAGAATTTCTACAAAACATCATATTTATAGCTGTTGAGCCATAATTTTAAATTTAAGATTACTAAATAAATGATAATAAAAATATCATTTTTCTAATAATTTCTACTAAAAGATCTTTTTCAGGTAGATGTAAGATAATTATTATATTAAATTATATAAAATTATATAAAAAAAATACATAATTTGTTCCATTACCTGTCGATATGCCGATAAAAATGCTGTGAATTCCAGTGAGAGTTTTTATTGTTCGCGATATGTGTATTGCGCAAAGCATTCCGTTTTTACAGGTTTCGTCAAATTGATCGTTATCGACGTACTCATATATGCCAAACGCGATAGAAAAGAAAATGTTCTTGTCGTACAGATTCACTACATTAATATAGCCCTCGTATTGAATAGCTATACTAAACAAACATTAAAACAAATTATTTTCTTGTTCCTTCGATAAACGTAAAAATGTTGAGAGTAAAAAAACAGTAATTTATTTTTTGTTTCAACTTTTTGTTGTTTTTAAAAATAAAATTTATGTAAAATTTTCAAATATTAAAATTGAAAACTTATTATTTCTTTATAGCTAAAATAATAATTCTTTTAAAGTAATATCTGTTGATTTTTAAACTAATATTCAGTATTATTACAAAGCATTATCATAAATCTATACCGGATAAGGATTAATGAGCCAAACTGGATTTACGTGCTTATTTAATTATAAAAATATAAACATTAAATAAAAGCAATGATGCTAATAAACGCAAACATTTCAACCTTTGTACTTATCTTCAATGTAGTAAAAAAAGTATGTAAAACCATTAATAAGAATACATTGATTCAATTATTTAAATCCAGCCCAGAAAATTTAAGCTATATTGTAACTACAGTTATAAATCGTCATGGTTGAAAAAATTTTTTGTAGTCTCGGAATGTAAAATTTTAGAAAAGGATGAGCGTGAAAGTGTTTCACTGGAGAAAATGATCACAAAATGGGCGGTGTCTGTGTTAGAAGTAATTATGAAGGATTTTCAGCGCAAAATAAAAAAGATCAAAAGAAAAAAACAGTTCTTAATAAAAACAATAATAAAACTTGCTTAACTATACCTGGATATTATCTGAAATCATCGTTTGTGGGATATATGGTGGTAATAAATTTTTCGTCTTAGGATATTATAATATTGCAAAAGAGCTGATGAGAACGTGTAAAGAAAAAAATACGGGAAGAAAGGAAAAGGGAGAGAAACATTAGTGCAACGACTGTAGAAAGGAAAGAAATAAGCAAAGACCGGTGTCAAAGAGAAAGGTAGGGATGAATGTTGAAAGTAAGGAATGTTAGAAGTGAAAAAGAAAGTTCAGGGACATATTATTAATATACTAACATATTATTAATATATTCATTAAAAAGATCGCAACATTTGCGCTTATTGCTTTTGTTTAATTTTTATATTTTTATAATCAAACCTAAATCCAGCTCGGCTCAATCTTTTATTCATATCAATTTAAAATTTTATCTTTTGAGTCTATTGTCACTATTATTATTCATGCAATTTAATTAAATACCTATGTAAAAATAGAAAGCATTTATCGACTAAAAGAATTAATTCAGTGTTTGAACATTTCTGGGGCATAATATCGAGAGATATTATTGTAATTCGTTTGATCTTCGCCAATAATTGTAATGATTCCTCCTTTTCAATCTATGAAAATAAACAAAATATAATTAATATTATTCACAATTATTCACAAATCTTTTCACTTTGTTATAATTGAAATTGTTCACAGTAAACGATACCTGTTGGATCACCGGCTTTGTCAAATAACTCTTTAATTGTGTACCAAATTGTGGATTTATTGCTATTATCTCACAAATCACTAGTAAAAACATTTAATGTAAAGAAATAATTAATAATAAATAATTAGAGACACGTCTATAATCTAATCTTCTTTGATTGTTATATGAAAATAGCAAATTGATTTAATTTTAGTAAACATAGAATAAATTAATTTCTACGGTAATAGAAAATATTAATGCAATAAAATGAAGAAAAGAAATGGAAGATAAAAAACCGGTATAAAATAATTTACGAATTTAATTCATTTAAATAGAAAACAAATGTTATTTTACCAGACCTAGCTTTCTTATTCTTATCAACACTTTCTGTCTCAAAATTTCCACTAAGAGATATCATCGAGAGATTCTCCTTTTGCAGCTTAGGTGATGTTGGTCTAACATCATTTATAAACTTAAGAGGTGCATCATAGCTCGAATTGATTTGATCACCCATATGTGTATAGCCTGACGGCTGTAACATTCTTAGTATCTGCACAAAAAAAAATATTTGTCTTAATTTTTTACAAATAAGAGTATTTTCGAGTTTTAATACATTTGTCTTAACAAATCAATTTTTAAATTATAATAATTTATTAGCTTAACATTCAAACTGATTAAATTTCCATTTAAACGCTAATAAATGACAAGATTATCTTTATATGAAGAAAAACCAAAGTTTATATTTTTAGAATATTAAAACGAATATATCGTTTACTTTTAAATTAAATTACTATTAAAGTGTCATCATACTTTCACGTTATTTTGATCCTTGATAACGTATTCATATTTACTCGGAACGCAATGTTGCCATGCACTTAATGATAATATCAAGTCATTCGACAAAGAAATTCTTTTAGCGATTTTTATTTCTTCAATCGGCGAACCAAAGATTACAAAATTTCGAGCTTCATCGTTACCTATTATCGAAAATGTTACATCCCCAGCCGAAATCACTATGTTCACTATTAAAAAAATAGTGAATATTATTGATAAAAAATATATGCATAAAACCGCCTCGTACTAAAAATTAAAACATGCGCTCTTACTGCTTTATTTTGTGTACACATCACACACACACACTCACACACACACACACACACACACACACACACACACACACACACACACACAATTTTATTATTTTATATATACATAAAATTCTAATTTTTTAGATAAAATTACGATGTAGTTAAAATTTCAAATACCTTGATCAATTTTGTTAGAATTTTCCAAATTTATTATATAATTTTGTATATTTATCGCACATAAAACTACGTTTTGTACTACATCAAATATAAATTTATCGTCACGTATTTTCCATGCCACTAATATTCCTTCAGCTGTACACAAACATATTTATAATATATTATATATTTTGAAAAAAATCTCTTACAAAATAATTAAAAATAATTATGCTAATAGATAATCAATTATTATTAAGCAATATTTCTGTATATAAATAATCTTTTATATAATTATTTACAGTTTTTAAATATTTTTTTATTATACTTTTGATTCGATTCTTTACAAATTATATAATAATTTTGTTTAAATATAGTTATATAATTAATAGTCGTTGAATAATTGAATAATTGAATGATTGTTAATGTTTCATTAATGAAATAATCCTTATCTATTATTATTTTCTTACCAGAAAATTTCAATACATCACCCTCGCTGCAATATATTTCACGAATCACGATAGAAAGGTAATCATTTAAAATTTTAGTTAAAGTTAAACTTCCTCCATTTTTGTCGTAAATATGATTTTTTAACAACATCGAAAAATTCACTGTTATATTAACCATGCAATTTTAAAAAATATTTTTATCTAAAGAAATTTAAAACAATGTGAATGCAAAACTGTTAATTGATACTGCTAACTTGGAATGTTCAGAAACATTAAAACAGCCCGAAAGCTTCGTAAACTCTTCTCTGACAAATCTACTGAGTATATTATTTCATCGGGAATAAAAGTTGCCATACGATGAATCTGCTCGTCTACATTATGCAAATGCAATGTCTAAGAAATTAAATAAAGACTGTGATGGATATGGAAGTATGCAAAATTCAAAATAAAATAATTTATATTAACAAGAAAAGGTAAAAAAATAATATAAAGAATTCAGATCTCTCTAACCTGTTTTAATGTCAACCTTTTTTTCTTAAAAATGGGACCAAATAAATCTGGCGTCCAAGCCATCTCAACTTTTTCATTTCTTGAATCTCGTGCCATTATTTAACTAATCTTAAAAATAATTCTAATATAATGTGACAATGAAAAGGTATTTATTTTTTATAAGATAAGTAAATACTTATCAAGAATATCACATGTTTATTTTCTAAATTCTGAATTTGTCTGTGAAAACTTGAAGATATTTTTACTTGAAGATATCCACACTTGCAACATATAGGGCCCGTTTTTTTATTGTTTTTTTTTTTATTGCAACTTTTCTTTCTCACTTTCATCAAAATTCAAACATATTTCTGTTTTATTTTAATATAACGAGTGTATATACATATACTAATTTAATTATAAAAGATAGACTTGTATTTTGAAAGATATTAAATTGATACCTATAATAATTGCTATAATAATTGGTCTGTTTTACGTTCACGACACAACTAAAACGACATTCATGATTGGTCCAATTTGTTATTGTATGTTCAGAGTGCGCTGACGACGGTTTTGTTTCAAACCAACTTGTACCGCAATTCACAGAACAATATAATCTTTATGATGTTTAATTCAAGTAGAACGTTATTGAAGTTGATGACATCCACGAATTGATATCGATGTCAATATAAATTTATAAATATCGATATACAATTAGTTTGTAATGCAATATTTAAATTTATACAATTTATTATTATATAAATACTATATAAATGTACATATTTAAAATACAATAATGTTGTCATGTATTATTGCAAAACTGCATTTCCTTTTATTATCTATTCATGTTGTAAATATATTATATCTAAGAAACATAAGTATAATAAATTAATTATTATATAGTTAGTTATATAAATATTGCCATCAACTTCCATAAGATCAGTCATCTTCTCAATATTTTAGCAAGTGATTTAAATTAATAACATTTCTAAAAAGATATATATTAATTCTTTCTCTCGCGTAAATGACGTAAATGTTCATATTGATCAACCTTCGAATTATGACTCACTCAATGTTATAAATAAATAATATAATAATGATACTCACTCAATGTTATAAATAAATAATATCATTTTTCTTACGAAAAATATTCGGGAAATTAAATAATTTACAAGATAAAATTTTATTAGGTAAATTTACTTGCAAGGCAAAACATAAATTGATTTTCAGAGTAATTTTATTTTATATACATTTTCTTGTAAAGATATTCTTTATTATTATTTTACAATTCTTGGAATAGTGCTTATAAGCAAAAATTAAATTTCAATATCAAATTTTTTAAATAATTTATAATAAAAGTGTATAAATATAAATTTCATTTTTGTTTATAATATCTTAAAATCTAGTACTAAATATTATTTGTCATTCATTTTCATCTAGTTTATAGGTAATATCTTAAACTCTAATACTAAATACTATTTATCGTTGATTTTTACCTAGTTTATAGGTAATATCTTAAACTTTAGTACTAAATACTAAATACTATTTATCATTGATTTTTATTTAGTTTATAGATATAATATCTAGTACTAAATACTATTTTTCATTGATTTTTACCTAATTTATAAGTATATACATATAGATACGTACATAATCTTTGACATTAAGCACAATAATAAAAAGACAATACAAATTCTCGCTATTAAAGTAAAAATATAGAAATAAAAATATAAAAACTATTTGGAAAATATTCAAATCTGCTTCGACATATTTATAAGACTTTAAGAATAGATTGAAATAAATTATTTGATCACTGTAGACTTTTTAGAGTCACCTTTCAATTGACTAATGTCCAATTCCACCAACGTATATTAACTTTAATCTCGGTTCAACTTACTCTTTATCTTTTTCTAGTTCTAAGAATTAGAAAAAAATGAAGAGCAAGTTGAATCGAGATTAAAGTAAATCTATGTTGGTGGAATCAGGCATAAAAGATACATAAACAAAAATTTTATTAGTGTATTTTAAATAAATTTATAACTAATTTTTAATTAGTTATAATTATTTTGATATTAATTGATAATGTCCTAAAATCTATCCGAGTACAGCAAAAAGGCAGAATATATATTAAATTCGCAAAATATATAATATATTTAACACAAAATTTCGCTAAACGATTAAGAGTTATATTCTATGTATATCGTATTGTGATTATTATTCACTTATAATAATTATTACTTATTATATTAATTTGGCACAAGGCATGCAATAAATTATACAAAAAAAGAATTGATTGTTCAAGAAAAAAAATATTTCTTCTTTATTTGCCAAAAAATAATTTTTTTAAATTAATCAAATATCAAAAGTTTTCATTATTGTTGACCTTCTATACATACATTTTAGTAGTAACGTCTCTATTAATACTATATACTCAAGAGATTTTTTTATTATACAGTATATATCAGGTACATAACAAGATATTTGTACATTATGATATTTTTACAATGATTATCAAAATGTTTCTGAAAATACATTATAAAAGTAAAAAACTTTTAAAGTAAAAGTTATTTAATCATTTTATTAAAACTTTAACATTGGATTTACGATGTATACACGATTTATGATGTGTAAAATAGGCAGTAATGATGTATAACTAATTAGATATAATTAGACATTTACCTTGAAAATAATAGTTCAAGCATTATTGATGTCTATTGTACATATCTACATACAGGGGATCGATTGTATCTTGAAGCAAGGTAAAAGTTACAAAAATGAAGAAATTTACTATATTTCGTTATATGAGACACAGATATTCTAATGAATTTTCTTTTCTTACTTTTGTATTTTTCATCTCGTTTTAAGATACGCAATTGACTCTCTGTTTTTATCTTAATGTACCTTGTAAGAGTTTTCATCGTATATTTTTCGCGCTTCTGACATCATCATTCAAGATAGCGATAAATCAGCAAGAGCCTTAAGTAAACTGTCATGACATGGAAATTCTTCGAGAAAATTTTTGTAATGTCTATTTCATTTATATTTCATTTTGATGTCTGATTTTTCTACATATTTGTTAAAAATATCAAAGTGTAAGATAGAAAACAGCATGTCAGCAACTTGCATGCAGAATTGGTAATAATTGGTTACGAACGAAATCATAATGTATTAAATTTAAATAGAAAATATGTGATAAGTAATAAAAATACTTGCGTGTTATTATATTTTTATGAAATTGATTAATCGATAATGATATGATACATTAAATTATAATATGTGATATACAGAACACATATTACATTTTAACAGAGAGAGAGAACAAACATGTTTGTATCAATGCGAGGAAAAAACATGTTTGATTAAGCAAGTTTTAATGAGATAAAAGAAATAAACAGAATTATAATTAAATATCCTAATACACAGTTAGAATATTTAGATGTGACACTGATCAGAATTATATAATAATAACACATTCAAGTATAGTTATTAGTTATTAGAAAAAGAAAACTGTTAGAAAAAGAGGACAGAAAAAAGAGGAGAGAATCAGCATATTGAATCAGCAGTTAAAAGAATATAAATTAATAAAATAGGTTTTCAAGCTATAATAATAAATAATCTGTATATACTTCACATAACCACTGTACTTAGATGCAATTAGGCATAGTTTCTAGATACCAGTTCCTAGATACCAGTAGTAATAGTAAGAGAGCAGGTGGGATTAAAATTGTCCGTATAAGAAGTGCCTCTGAAATTCTCCGCTGATTTTCAAAGTTAAATTGTCAAGCTTTTATACCAAGTTTATAAAATCTTCTTTTCTTCGAAATTTTTAAGTTTAGAAAACATGTGGCTCAAAATCTATATCTTTTATAAACAAGTGCAGGACAGTGCAAATTCATTCTCTGTCCTCACTCTCCTCTCCACATAGTCGACGAGTAGTCTTTCTGTTTGATAAGTCCACGTCTCTGTAGATGAGTCCCGTAAGTCTTATTCTATGAATAAAAATATTACGGTACGGTTATCAGAAAATTAATAAACAAATTAATGTTATAAGTCGAAAATAACTAACAAAAAACAAAATAGATAACATCATTTAGCAAGCAGGATTTTAAATACCTAATAATTTTCTTTTTGAATTTACATAAATTCAAGATGAATGCAAACTTTTAAGTAGAAGGAAATTTTTTTTTTAAGGAGATTTGGAGGATTTTTAAGGAGGAGGAGGATTTCTTGCAACGTATATTGAGAAAAAGGATAATTAACTCAAATTTTCAACTTGATTATATTTGTCCAGTTTAAGTATTTATATATTTAACTATAATTAAATATAAAATATTAGATTAAATATTAACTATATTAAATAAATATTACATATTAAACACATTTAAGGTAAATATATAAGTTGAATTAAACAGATATAATTAAATATATAAATACTTGAACTGAACAAATTTAATCAAATTGAAAAATTTAACTATCTTTTTTTCTCAGTGTAAAGAAATTTGTTTCTAAGGAGTTCAAAACCATAATTATAATCTTCCTGTATAATAAAGTGATTATCAAATTTGATATCGATTACTTTCTTTTCTTTCACAAAAAATTCTTTTTATACAAAATATCACTTTAAGCTAAGATTTGAATCTGGAATTTCTTGGCTATTCGTCTCAGATGTCTTTACAATTCGATTATTATGCATATAATGAATAATTTACGAGATATTTTTTATTTTTTATTTTATGTCATAATATGTCAGAATAAAGTATAAGATATCTCGTGAAATATTTAATTTTTGATAACTATACTTTAATAGTTTTATCCAGAAGAATTACATTACAATAACAAATAATACATGATTTAAAAAAATGATAGCTATAAAAAAATTTCCAGTAACGCTTATCTGCTAACAAATCAATTTTATAATCATGTAACTCCTCCAATACATTTTTTGTCTGAAAAACTTTTATTTTAAACTTAAGAATTCTGAATTATTCTAGTAGATTGATTCCGTCAAAATAACATTCGCAATAATTAAAACAGACTTGTATAATATAATATAGTAAAAATTCTTCTTTTGCTCCTATAATCAACAAGTAACTAATTTAGAATTAAATTGTACCACTTCTTGATTGGGTATAATAAATTTCTAAATATATATAACTATTTATTGATTACGGAAGCAGAAGAGAAGTTTTTAGTTTTTACTTTACAAGTCTATTTTATTGTTTGCATACATTATTTTAGCCACAAACGTTTTTATTTTTATGAATTTTGCAAAAATTTTTGTTATATGTTTTCTCGCTCTTCTGCCACAATTCAAAATAACTACAAAAAATCCGCAAAAATCTGAAACAAACTGCTAAATATATATAATATATTGGATATAGCTATATAAGGTGGTAAAGTTATTGATTGTCAATCATTCAGAAAATCCAGATTCAAATTTTGTTAAATATCCCATGTCCTCTCAGAAGAGAAAATAAAGAAACTCTCAAAAAGAATCAAAGAATAAAGGAGACAAGAAACAAAGAAAAAATTAAGATAATTAGATAAACAAATCCAATGGAGACTATAGATGACAGACAACCAATTATATGACAGACAACCAATATTATATATTTTATCATAAATCATTGAATCATTGAAAGAGATATAAAAGTATAAAGAAGTATAGAGAGATATAAAAGTAATGTTAAATTAATAGTTGAAGAAATACATTCCGTTTGCATTTACATAATTATAAATAATTCCCTTTCTAAGAAATTTATTTTGATAATTAAAATGAGGAAGAAAACGAAAGTACCATAAAGATAGAGTAAAGGAAAGAATAATACAAGCAAATAGAGGAAAATAAATAGAAGGCAATTTTATCTAATGACATATAACTATCTTTCTTTTTTATTGCCTAAGTGTGTACAATTACGCATATATGTTACGTGCAGGATACAAAAAGAAATTCCATAAAAAAATTTGTAAAAGAAATTATGAAAAATGACAAACTTAATCCAAGAAATGTAATCTCAAAGATATAATCCGTTGATGATTCATATATTGAAATTAAATAATAATACAAAATGAATAATCAATTTTACATGAATACAAAAATCTTAAATTTTATTGAAAATTATATTGAAAAATTTTTATATGAAATTCCTATATTTTTTGTTAAAGAAATATTATCAAGGATAAAAAATCCTTTTGTTTCTGCTTTCATTGTCATTGCCAGGACTCGAAACCAGAATAGCTATAAATATAAATATAATCTTTGCATTTATTTTTACATTACTTGCTATTTATCTTTGTATTTACCTTTACATTTTAATATTATACAAAATACTTACACAGAAAATTAAATAAATTTGGAATAATTATTTTGGTTTCAACACCTGTTTGTCAAAAATATCGGTAGATGACAAAATTATGGCAACATTATCTAAATGTTTTAAATAGAGAATCATCTATCGACATATGTCATTAATTGATGTAACGAGTGTTTTACACTCGAGTTTTACACTTATCTGACTAGTAAAATAAAGACATGACTAGAACGTTCCACGATCAATAAGAGTAAATAATAGAAACAGTCAGAACATAAATTGGAAAATATAATACGGAAAAATTCCCTCTTTCTTTCTTTCTGCACGATATATGTGATGTACTATTTACTTCAGCACATTTTTTTTCTCAATGTTTTGTACCGACCAAATGCAAAAAGAAGCTTATCGTGTCTTTAGATTTGTTATTGCACAAAGCGCACGCTAGAGGATCCTTGGAGTCATGAAAATTCATATGTATTGAATGCATGGTCTCATTTCCAAATATTATTTGACAATAATTACAAATAAATCGTCTATTTAAATTTGAATTTTCTTTGACATGAAGATTTGGATTTTCTCTTTGAGAATTTAATTGACCTACTGTTGAAAACTCTGAATCAGAGGGTTTCGTCCGGTTGATATTTTGCTCTTTCTTAGCTATCGTGGAATATTCTAGTTCCGTTGCTTTGCGCTTACGTTTGTTATCCGTGAATTTTGTTGAGCAGCTCGCAATTGATTCCTGAAGTTGCTGACTTTTCCGCCTTAACATAGCAGCCATACTCAGATCTAACGGTTCCTCCGGAAATTGCTGTGCCTCCATCGGCTGACGTTCCAGGGTTGAATTCGTAGAGGTGGAGGGTTCATTAATAGATGACGGATCGTCCGAAAGAGGCGCATTATTAGCGTTAGCCATAAATTCGATCGACTTTTCGTTATAAAATAAATAATATTTTTTCAACTTTTCTTTGAAACATTCAATTCGTCTATGTTCCTCGTCGTCATTATCCTTACATTCTAACAACGCCATATTGAATATGTGAAACATCATTAAGTTAAACATTTCCCTATTATTATATTTCTTTATATCTGAAGACGTAGACAAGGTCTTGTCAATGTAGGATAAGAAATTTGAATAGAGACTTGAATAGAGACTTGTGTTCTCAGTACTACTCGTTCTACTTAAATAACGAGCAATCATAGACAATGATGGGTTGGATTGAGACGATGAGGTCGGGGTTGACGTGATTTGGATCGGTGACATTCGGGCTGGTGACATCCGGTCCGATGACATCCGCGCTGGTGACATTGAAGCTATGTCCGGCTCCAAGTAGGTCGAAGCTGTCGACAGTGCAGCCGAGATCGGCGACATCGGATTCGACGAGGCCGGAACTACCGAGACCGGAAAAGTGTGCCCTGAGCACGATGGCATACTTTCGATGCTCATTACTCTCGGATCCTCGTTTCTTACGGCCGTTTTTCGTCTGGGCCCGCGCTTAGTACCGTAAACGTCGATGGTGACGGATGGATTCGGCGTGCCATCCGGATTCAACACCATTTTCGGCTCGTGCGAGGTATCTTTCAAATGCTTCTTCATCGCATTGCAGAATTTCGTCTTGTACATACAGTTCGCGCAGTTGTACTGATAGACATCCGAGTGCGTCTTCATATGGCTGGTCAGCATCGATTTGCTCACGCATGTGTACTGACATTGCGTGCACGTGAACCCTTTGAAATCGTCGTGGGCACTGGACCAGTGGAAGCTCATGTGATGCTTGAGCGTGCTGGCAAACGGACACCAGGGACACACGTATCCGGTCAATTCGTCGTTCATAAAGTGCTGACGCAAATGCAGCCATAGCACTGATTTCTTTGTCGTTTCAAAGCCGCACTTACTGCAATGTCTAGGTTTGAAGTTTTTATTTTTCTTCTTTCCCTTGGTCTGTGATTCACCGTCGAGTTCGTCAGTTTCTTCATCCTCGACATATTTGCTTGAATAGTTTTCGACATATGTCGTTTTGTTAAATACAAAATGATAAGCCATATGTTCGCAATACTCCATTCTGTAAATATATATAATTTGAAAATATTAGTTTATTTTGCTAGAGAGTCAATGACGAATTGATATTGACTATAATTAAATTAAATTTCTTACACAGCCAATAAATTTAATCTCTATGAATTAACTGATACATTCGCGAGTATCGATTTAATATATATATTTTTTTTTAAAGCAGATAATTTATAAATATTTTTTATCATTTTCAGTCAATTGATTTCTAATATCTATTCTATATATTTGAGAATTAAAAAAAATCAGCATTAAATATTATACCTTTCTGTTGCAACATGGTCACATAATTTACACAGTCTAGGAAATTGAGACGCTTCTTTGAACGCTTCTTTGGTTGATTCGTTGTTTGTAGCATTCTCAATTGAATTGTATATACCAATTGAATTATTATTTACCGAGGATGACACATCAATTGAATTATTATTCACCAAGGGTAATACATTAGTCGAAATTGTCGAGTCGGATGTGTTCGGAATTGAATAAATTCCGAAATTCAAAGTTCCTTTTTCCTCTTCTGTCGATTGTTCAGTCTAAAACAATAACAAATAATTCTTAAAAATAATTCTTAAAGTAAGTTTCCTTCTTATAAAAAAATTCTTATAAATAAATCAAGAAGTAGCAGTAAAGCTGAATAATTTTTAATACATGAACAAATCAAATGTGTCCTTTAATTTTACTTCTTTCTTAGATAGATCTGATAGATTTCTTTTTTCCAGAAATATAATGATATGTTTAATGTATATATAGTATTAATATAATTAATAATAATATATGTACACAAGGTATTTTATCTCAATCACTTGAATATTATATGAATTAAATATAAAATATAAACATCTGTGTTTTCTAAGATTGTGTGTGATTTCAAAGAATCTACGAACGTTATATGATTCATTCAAAGATGGAGCCACCGTCAATTTATTGCGTTATTTTTTTCTAATTTTGGTATTACATAATTTTTTATAATATAATGTCTCCAGTTATTCTGGATATAAAAGTATTGAGATAAAATTATCAAAATGTCAATAGTTTGAGATATTTCATACTTTATTTAACATAGGCATATTTTAACATGAAATCTGAAATATCTCGTAAATTATTCATTTTTTTAATAACTTTATTTTTATACATATATAAAGTATTTAATAACTAAAGAAATCATATTGTATGTAATAAATTAAATAAATCCATTTAAAAAAATAGTATTTATTAAAAAAATGTCGATAATAATACTGCCTATGAATGAATCAATATCATAATTATGGTCCTCTTACAACCCAGAATATCTCGATATCTCATTTAATTCTAGAGATATTCAAATACATTGATTAAAAAATGACACTCTATATAATTTTATTAATATATAATCAAATATTACATATAAATATATATGATATCTTGATTTATATCTTAAAAAAAATCTTTTAAAAAAATATTAGACATTAATCAACAAATAATCAATTTTATATCCTAAATGTAATTGCCAGTCATATTTGCCAGCAATTTTTAAAATTTACGTCTTTGTATGTGTTTGCATAACAACATACAAAGCAAAATAAAAAATTCAGCAAAATGAAAAATAAGCAAATGGAAAAATGAAAAAAGTATGCTTACATTTTGGATATGCTTACATACTCGATATCGATACGACTTCCATCGTATTTCCACGCCATTTTGTTGAATATAAAAGGGGAAGGGTCCAGAGAATAGAAAGTATGCGATACATACTACTGGAGAAAAATAGAAGGGGAAAGAGAGAAAGGGAAAGATGAAGTTCAATAGGAGAGGGGTTGTACGATTACTCACCACAATTCTATCACCCCAAACGGTAGATGGTGCAGTTGAGAGGAAGGGACTCGGCTTCGTCTCGATATCTTCTTTCTGATTCGAATGTTTCCATTTCTCTATGTCTTCCCAGCCTCTTCTCATCATACTATACTTTTTAAAAAACATAAACAGTCAAAGATTAGATAAAGATTAGACAAAATTAAAAATGTTTAAACAAAATGCCGGTCTCGCTTTCGTGAGATGCACATTTGACGCGAGATATTACTAGTGTCTTGCGATATTGCACAAAAACTATTTTGAATATCCTTGTGCAGCATAAATGTCTTCTACAATGTATTTTAACAAAATTTTCAAAATTCAGATTACGTTTGCAGAAATAATAAACTATTTATTGCATAATAATAAATATGATAATGTGCATGTTTCTTTGTTGAGAATATAGCTTCCAATCTGATTAATACATTTTGGGATATATCAATACACATCAAATTTCTTTAGTCATTTATCGTCATATATTTTTACAAAAATATGCAAAAATATCAAAATGTCAAATTTTTTTGTATAAGAATAATTTTCCATGCTCTTTGGCCATTGAATCTTAATCCATTCTTACTTTCTTTCTACATAAATATTTATTTTCTTTATTCTTTTCTAATTCTTAAAATAAAAATTTAATTTTTAAATGTATATTTAAATGTAAATTGTAGTTTAAATATAATGTTGATAGAAATATTTGTAATAAAAGAATCTAGTGAACCTTGATGTCATGCTATCTTTCTATGCTACTTCAATATGCAAAATTTTTCATGATTTATTTTCGCTTTCTCTTATTCTAATTTTTGTATTACTAAAATAAAAAAAGATTTATATATTTCTTTTCGTATATTGCTAGTTTTCTACTACTTATTTAAACTAAAGCGAAAAATTTTACGTCGTGGTCTCTTTTCGACTACGGCTATGGTATCCTACTGTTAAATTGTAATAGAACCTCATTTAAAACAGAAAATATATCACTGTCATATTGGTTGTAAATAAGAACTGACTTCTTTTTGAATATTTCTCTTTTTCGGTATTCAAATGAAAGATATTTGAAATTAGTTTTTTAAGAAAAGTGTGAAAATACCATCAATTTGTTCAAGATTTATGGCTATATAAAGAAACTCTCACGGGACAGAGTTCCATGATTTTAAAAAGAAAGATAGTTATTTTTGCTCATCTTTTTATACTAATACATAATTTCAATCTGCACACTTTATTTGTATTAAAATTAAAGATTAAAATAATAAAATTTTAATTAAATAATAAAATTTGATATTTGTAACATAATTTATTATATGAAATATAATTTATCAAACCTATGTAGAATTAGATATTGTTAAAGTTATAAGTTATTAAGATAAAAATATATAAATTATATAAATTGAGATTAACAAGATTTTTAAATGCGGAATTTATTATTTTGCAAAAGTTAATTATATATATATATGATATTAAAAATTATAGACTTATACATTTTTTAATCTTAGAAATTTTTCAAATCGCTGATTAAAAATTCAATATTATTTAACGTCTTAATACTCAATATTTTTTAATATTTTCCACAATTAATTATTTACAATTTATTGTTATTATTCCAATGATTCTCTCGATAATGAATTAGACTTAAGTTTGATTTCATGAATTAAAAATTGTTCGTCTGATATATATCACCATTTATTTAAAAAATATATTTTGAGAGCATTAGAACAAAGAAGTAAAAGAAAAAAGTAAATTTTTATAACAAATAAATGAATTTAACACTTATAAATACAATAAACATTTTTCTCAATCTATTTAATGATTTCAATAACCGTTTTCTGGCTTCCTTTGAAATTCCGAACAAATAATAATCATTATTCTCGAAAGGTCAAAACAATGTTGGTGATATTTCGAAATTCCACACGAGACATACGCCAAGATCATAATAATAAATAGAAAACGACAAAGCGACGTACACTGGAAATTTCAATCGACAAACATTACAGGATAGAATAGAAATAACGCGGAAGAACTTGGTGAAGAAAAACTACTGAGAAATCAAATGATTGAAATTAATATAACGTGATGTCTTTAATTATAAAATATTAAATGTGCGACATTAAATAAAAAATCTTGGTTAACAATAATATGATTTTTTAATTAATAACGAAAAACGTTTTCATAAATCTTTATAAAAAAATAATTAAAATAAATATCATTTTAATATTAGCAAAAGCATGGCCGAAAACATAAATCGACCAATCAAAAATTGACCGGCGAAAAACAAAAAATACAAAAAAGTTTGATGAAACTTTTTATTGATTTTATAGTTAACGTAGATAATATAGATAAATATTATTTATCGACAAATTTCCTATTAAAAGTAAAGTTTTTAATAAATTATTGATATATTATTTTTAATATATTTTGTTTGCATAATATATATTTTATTCCGCTATATAATAAAAAAAGTTGACAATATTTTATCAGTATAGTAAATTAATATCTATAAGTTAAAAAAATAAAACAGATAAAAGGAAACAAATATCAAATTTTTTCTTCAGCGCTAATTAAGTAAAATTAATATAAAAATAACTGTCTTGGTTAAAATTTAATCAAAGTAATAAAATATAGCGTTTTTAAGTACCTTATTTTTGTGAATTTGTTAATATTTAGCAGAACTTCGTCGTTTTCAAATACTCCATTAGAATAGTTTTTCCTTCGATTTATCTTCATATTGCATACTCTGTTGGACGCATTTTTGACACACTTGAAAAGAGTATCGAATTTGAAAAATTATTCAATGCTGACAAAGTCGCGTATTACTATATACCACTATATATATCGTTCTATTCCAAAGATTTCCCTTCGGAATATTTATTTTCTGCGTATTATAAATTTTATTAACGACCATAACTAGGGATAATGGTCCCTAAATTCTTAATAGATCTACGATTGCAAATTTGCAATGACAGACGTATTTCTAGAGGTACTTTTTTTTATGTAAAGAAACGCGAACTGTCCCGGATAAAAATATGGAGATGTTCGATCCGAGAATAAGTTCTAAATTAAAAATCTAACACATGTTTTAATTTCGATTTATGTTTCGAGCGAGAAAAAGCGAAATATATACGATGAGTATACGATATCCGAACTAAGACTACTGACATATAGGAATCAACTTCATATATTGTAGGGGCAGTTACCCTCTCTACCGAATCAAGTTCTGCCCAATCGCAGAACTGTTGAATTTCATCGCAGCCCCTATTCCCCACTCTCAAACCAATAGCTTTTTCAAGCGATCTTTTCTAGTTTTTCAGATCTCTTGCTTCCCTAAAAATTTCCTTCTGACCTATTAGATTGAAAAATCCGTTAGCTTATAGTACTCATGGTACTGTTAGGTAACTGTCTACTGCTGGAGTCAAGGGTTTTTTGCATTTATAAGTAGCAGTAGATGTTTTTACCGTTTTCTTTCCGTTTTCTCCGAAAACACATAAAAACCGTACCTGTTTCTTATAAAACGAGAAATAATTGAATTGCAATAAAAAGTAAAGCGAGTAAAAGAGTAAATTGACAAGAATGTTTAAAATTTAGATAGATACAAGAATGTTTAAAATTGCAATAAAAAATAAAGCGAGTAAAAGAGTAAATTGACAAGAATGTTTAAAATTTAGAGATATTTTTTAGTAAATATAAATTAGGAAATTTTAATCCAAAAATTATTATGTGATTATAATTAAGATATTTTTTAATTAATTTCAATTTAATTTCGAAGAAGTATCAAATCCACAATTTGTGTACCATGCTATTATTTGAACATTCTTTTTTCGGCAAGCGCAATCTGTTTTCTTTCTAATGTAGACAGCTCGCACCCTTTCCCTAATGCTGAAAAGAAGGCAGAAACTCCTATTAAAACATGATATTTTAAAACGGGAGCTTTTTCGGAAATAGAAATTACCACAATCTAGACATCACATACATTGTGAGAAAGAAATTTTTAACACATTATATTTATATATACAAGTATAAATATAAAATATGAATATTATTTTGCGTTCTAGCATCATTTATGTATGTATGTATTATATACATTTATGCACTAATGAGATAAATCCTTGTTGTAGAAAACACATATAATTACTTTAAAAAGAAAATTTGCATAATTTGCAAAATATTTTTGTTGCATATTTTTTGTTAACAACATTGTTTTTTCTTTATATGATTTCTCATTATTCCGCACAAATATATGCCTATCAAAAAAATATAATCTTATCTTATACTTATGTCAAAATAAAATATGAAATTTTTTAACTAGCAATTTCTAAAAGTAATTTTATAATAATTTTCTGTACAAAAAGGAAAACTATATCAATTAATGTACCGTAATGGAGTTTTATTTTAAAAATAAATTTTATTTAAAAATTTTGAAAAATATAGTTTTATACTAGGTATAGTTAATAAAATATAGTTTTATAGTTTTTATACTAAAGTTAAATATAATTTTATACTAGAGTTAAATATAGTTTTAAATGTATAGTTAAATATAGTTTTATACTGAATATAGTGAATATAGTGAATAAAATATAGTTTTATATTTTATTAATTATAATATTTCCTTCTTGAAATCATATAACTATTTTCTGTGTGCGTGAGACAAATTTTTCTCCGTCATTAAAAACAGCAAAAATATTCTATTCATGCCCACATTAAATCAGACAATAAATATTTCATCCTTTTATTTGTACAATCGAGAAAGTTGAGTGATGACCAGTTAAATCCTTCCCTTATATATATTTAACTCAAAAAATGCAATTTACAATGCAATGCGGATTTTGTATATATGTTTTATTCGTTTTTTTGTTTCTTGCGGCACCCAAAAGTATTTTACCCCCCTTTTTTTTGGCACTAAAAGAACCGTAACAATTTTATAGTTTGAAGTAGATCCTTTTTCTAAAAATAAACATAAAATCTCGTTTTACTTTTTATAAAGATTTTTTTATAAGCGTCACAACGGCAATAAAATGGTCCGTGAACGCTACGTGAACACAATTGTTAGAAAATCACATAATTTAGATTATTTTATTTCCATGATTACATTTGTTTCTTTTTTTATTATATTGTTACTTTAAAAATAGTTAACATACAAGAAAAAAATTTTAATGAAACCAAAAAACTGATAAAGAAATTGTTTAATAAAATATTTGGAGTAAAATATTTTTATTTTTTTTCAAATAATATAATTTAAAATTTTCCAAATTTTTATGTGCAATTCAATAGTGTTTTCTAGATTTCTTTTTAATATTATACAACAAATATTTATTAACATAGCGTTTTGTTAAATATAAAATCATTACAATATACTTTATATCATTAAATTTTATCACTAATCACCTAATTTTATATCTCTATATATTTTTTTTTCTTAATACAAAAATATACATTGTATGACAAAAATATTCAGATTTATATTTTATCTAAAAAGAAAAGTATATCAAGA